AATGCTTTTTTATATATTCCTCCTACACTTTCCTATCTAATCATCATGTAACCTCTGAGGGGGTGGACAGGTGGGTCACTGGTTCCCACTTCCTACCACCCCTACTCCCATCTGATACTCCCAGACAAAAATTGGTCAAATTTTTTTCCTGCATACCCCTATTTCCCCAGTTCACAACCCCTGACTCCTGAACCTTCATTCCCATGTTCCCTTACCCCTGTCCACCCCCTCACCTCTGGTATGACCTTTCTGATTTATTCTTTGAAATGGATAAAAGATTACTTATGGCTGTCCATTTCGTTTATGCCATATTGAAACTAATTTCATGGATGATTGCACAAAATCATGAAGGAAGGATAAACCATTTAATCTCAGGACTTGATGCAATAATTCTATGAATAGACAGCAAATGTTACAAACCCAAGGAGTAATACATCATGATAGATCATTTAAACATTATGTAGCTTCAAAAAAAAAAATTTACATGTGGTATACCTATTTTATTTTTAAATATTAAGCATGTCACCAAAATCAATCATGTATTCATATAAATTATGATTTCATGGCTGCATTAATTTTCATATAAATATCACTAGATTTAGTTGTTCTAATATTTATTGTCATAATTCCGCAAGGATGATTTTTGTCCCTAAAAAAAAAAATTAGTGATATTTTTAACAACAAAAATCATCCTTATATAATTATGACAATACGGTAAATATAAGAACAATTACATTGTACATTTGTATCAAAAAATATTTATTTTTACACAACTTAATTCAGAAACAGGAAGAATGCAAGGCTTTGAAAAGCATATCTATCCTGCTTTGAGCAAAGTACAAATAAAATTTCTTTATTTCGATGTTATGGATAGTTCAACAGTTCTCTTTGTGACTCTGTTGAATTTTCCTTGGATTTCGGTATTTTTGTTATTTTATTTTTTTTCAAATAAAATAATTTGGTAAAAAACAATTTCTAATTGAAGCTGGCAACATAAAAACACAGTACTTCAAGCATGATGTTATATGGACTGAATACATCACAAATTTATATTTATAGTCAATGCAATTTGACTGCGCTTATTAAATAGCACAATATTGCAGTACAAAATTGGATTTCTATTCAACATACACAAATAATTTTCTTTTTTCTTTTGTGTATAACTTTTGCAATAATTCATTAGAAAGATTTAAATGGAGACAATTTGACCTTGAACATGTTGTTACGTTTAGAAACGCAGAAAACAAAAACAGTAATACGTTTAGCTGATATAATTTTAGGACCAAATAACTCCATAGCGATCAGCTAGCAATTGTTTCATGAAAATAAATGACTAAAGTGTTTTTCCATCAATAATTGTATCATTACCGTTAATTATATTGTCTTGTTTCTTTCATTTATATTGGAAAATGTGTGTTTGTTAGAAATCCATAAAAGAAAATTGTTAAATGATTTCTTAGCCATTTTTCAGTTAATCTGAAAGGAATGTAGCATAAATAAAAGTGTTTTTATTTTTTAGAATAAGCAAGATAGAGGTAATAAAAGGGAAAATGAAATAAGTTAACATTTAAGCCACAGCACAACTCTTTATGTTCCAACAGCAGCTAAATGCAATGTAATACGCAACTGGGAAAAAAGAGGGGAGAGTTTAAGTGAGCATGTAAAACAAAATCAAACTATCTTGACATATACATGTTGGTCTTCATTTATCTTTTTCGGTTCTTTTTTCAGAGGGGCAAGGTATTGTAGGATGGTGTTTTTGTGCTGTCAAATATGTTAGTCAATTCCAGTATACTATTTATGCATTACGTAAAAACAACAGGCTTTTAAAAGCTACTTAATTATTATTAAACTTATTGTACATATCAGCGTTCCCCCCACAACCTTCAAATAGCATCCTGTTAAAAGGGAATTATTAAATACCATCTTGTTTCTAGAAATTATAGCATCACATCCATAACACTATCTATAAGAAAATCATTTCAGACAGCATAACATCCTAGCAATATACCATCACATTACCAAGATGCTAAAAGGCCCTGAGGAGAATACTGCATATGTAATGCATCCAAAAAAATATACATATGCAACTGATCCTTTTTTTTTCAAGTATTGTTGGTTGGTGTTTTTGGGCTGTCATATGTAAGTTAATTCGCAGTATACTTTTAATGCATTACGTAAAAACAACAGGCTTTTAAAAGCTACATTAATAACTTATTGTACATATATATAATGCTTCCAAAAAAGACATACAAGCAATTGATTCTTTTTTTTGGGGGCGGGGGGGTCGTAGGTTGGTGTTGTTTTTTTTGTGCTGTCAAATATGTTAGTCGATTCCAGTATACTTTTTATGCATTACATAAAAACAACGAGCTTTTAAAAGCTACAGTAATAAAATATTATAAATATGGTGATGCACACAAAAAAACATACATAAGCAATTGAACATGTCCATTTACAAGTTACCTAATTTTATTTCTATTTTACAAACAAATTATTGTCCATGCAGATCTAATAAAGAAGACTTATATCTTTATTTTACATTTCTCTTGGGTACCATCAATAATAGAAATTCAATTAAGATACTATAGCCATAGAAATCAATTTAGAAAATAAGAACAGCTCTCTGTATCTTAAAAGTCTTAGCAATAGACATGATGGTGAATCCGATTGCAGTATTTATCTGTGTATATTCATAAACAAGACATTTTAGTTGGACATTACGTTTTAAGAGAATTTCCAAACTGCATGTCAACTTTTATTAGCTTAAAGATCTAAGTTTTTACATTTTATCTGTGTATATACATTTGTACAATGTAGTCCTTTTACATTTTTTTGTTTTAAGAGAATTTCCAAACTGCATTATCAACTGTAATTGGCTTAAAAATCTAAGTTTTTGTATTTTATTGGTTTATATAGTCCTTTTTACATTATTTGTTTTAAGAGAATGTATATGTCTCCTATAATTGGCTTTTATAGAACTAACTTTGTCTACTGAAATGAATTTATTTTATCAAATAAAAGAAACTGACAAATATAGAAATACATTTAAACTTAATTCACTGTTTATAGATATATATTTAACGCAGACGTTTATATACAGGAAAACTGCAATACAATTTGGTATTTGTTTTAGACAGTAGAATTTCTCATTGTGCTTAACTTAATTTAGAGCAATGGAATTTTTTCATATATTTAATATCCCTACAAATTCAAAGTAAATGAATATTGGCAATTTAAAACTTAAAGCACAAAACCAAATTTTTTTGACTGATTAATGACTGCATATTTTCAGTATACTGTGCAGGAATATCACTAAATTTTCATGGTTCAAATATGAAGCTTTGCTATTGTGTTTCATATAACAACTATGTACATTATATCAGTATCTTTGCACATACATCATGAATGAATGCATTCAAAAACATGGTTACACCTTAAAACACAGTTGTGCTACACCTGCTCTACAGGAGTTCCATGTATATTTTAGAGTTTTAGACAGCTTGAAATTTATTATTTCCTATTCTCTCCTGAACTATTAAATTAATTTACACCAGCTTTATTGTTGTACCTTTTTTGTCTTGATCTATAGAACTGCAAAGTCAGATATATACAATGTATAATAACTGTATCTTGGAATTGTTATTTTCAAATTCACAGCTCTTTTTTAGAGTTGACAATGTCATTTTATTATATGTATTAAGTATACATTCCTAAAAAAACTTTATTATTGCTAAACATTTATAATCTTCTTCATTTTTAGCGAAAAAATAGAACCCATTTTACTTTATAATCCACACTCTCTACTTGAATAACCCCAGAGAAATTCACTCTATAAAGGTCACAAATCAATAACAGAAGAATACAATAATTAAAAGGTATAACATGATTATCAAGAGAGACATTAAGCACAAAATAAGCTGTTTTGTAGCAATTAAAGGGGTACTTAACCATGGTGTTCTAATTACAAGGGCACTTAACTATGGTGTCCTCATTTTTCTAATAAACTACACCAATGTAATTCAAGACTTCGTAGCAATAAATAAAACGATAGAAAGCAGACTAAAACTGATGCTTTTTCGTACAAATGTACTATCATTAACAACAAGAGGCTCACAGGACCAAGACTTTGTATCAATAAATAAAACAACAAGAAGCAAGACAGAAAACAGAAGCTTCTTCTGATCATTGAAAGATAACAAGAGGCCCTAAGAGCCTAAAGCATTCACCTATCAACATGATCAAAAATATATGGTGTATTGCTTATCATTCTTTATGTTTATATTTTCTACCTATCTTCGACATAATACGAAATTTAGTCAAAACTTGTCATGTAAGGGTCATAAAAAAAGACAACCAAAAAAATGCCTTTTCATTGACAATTGATCATTTTCATCTCTTTTTTGTTGTTGGTGTAAATGTCAACATAAGAAAAATGGCAGATTATAAACATGAAAACATTATATAAGTGCTTTTTCAATATTTATTGTCTCTCTTTTATTGATAAATTGTAACTCTAGTGGCAAATATTACATGCAAATTCATGAATAAATACAATAGGTATGCTCTGGAAAGTGGCTCCACCTGGAATAAAGGCCCAAGGAGTTTTTGCAAGCTGAAAGAGGGTTTTTTATGTGCAAGAGAGTCTGGCACTTAAGAGCCATCAAGATTAACTTTCCCATTTAACTGTTCATTGTTGCATATTCACACATTGTGGGTACTATAGTAAAATGGATGCCCCTTTAGAATGAATTTTACTATTGGATGGGTGGAGTTCAGGCGGTCATATTTCTAAACCCTTGTCAACCTTTAGGGTTGTAGTCCACACAAGGGTGTTGGAAAAGGAGTTTCACATTGAATCCCTCAACACCAACAATGCATAATAATTAAAGCACATGAATTTTGTTTAAGAAATTGAATCAGGAAAATTCCCCTGGCTTGGCATGGATAAAGCTAGAAAAAGGTGATTGACAGTAAATAAATGTAAATAAATGACCTACCTGTGCATAATCCTTCTCTATTATTGATCTCTGTCTGCTAAAATTCCTAAAAAAAAAGATAAATAAAATAATTAATATTTGAATGCTGGTGATTGATGGTGGTTCCAGGGGTTCAAATTCTGCTTTTCAATATGAAAGGTCCTGTATCAATGATTATCATTTGAATTTTCAAGTGAAAAGTCCTCCTTTGGAAAGTCAAAGGTCCTGAATAAAGCCTCATTTTTGTACTTTTTAAAAATTGTAAAGTCCTCTCCCAGAAAAAAACAGACATAGGACCTTGGACCTACTACATTGTATGTTGTGAACCTGTGTGGTTTGCTATAAAATTATATTTATTATGTATCTACATGTATACATCTCTTATATTTTCAACATGTACAATAGGACATATATGAGGAGGTTATAAATCTGAGTGATATTACTGTGATTTACTTGAAACCACCAAGAGTAACTTTTTTACTAAGCCATCCTGTATGGTGCTGTCATGGCTGTGAACAATGTATATATTGTAGTATCAAAGATTCTTAAATACTTCAGTTTTTAGTATACTATATACATGTAAAATGTCATGTAGGCATAATTTGTTTACTACATGTATGTTCACCTGATACATATTTGGGTATATATAAAAGGTACATATATGTACAAAATTTGCTTTAATACATTTAATGCAAACGTTACAACGGTCATGGTTGATCAACGGTTGGTGGGCCAATCATCCCCAAGCTTGAGGGTACTATTAGTAGCCTGAGGGTCTGGATAGGGTTGAGAAAAATAGGCAAAAGAACAAAGGATAAAGAAATGAGAGACCCCCCATCCAGACCCTCTCGCCTGGAAGACAGTTTCTTTCATCATAATTGATGTTAAAAAATATTAATGACTGACCCTGGTACAATGGTAAAAAACTGTAAAATCAGATATAAAAAAATGTATGGACTAAATGTCAAAATACATTATCATGAAGTTTGAAAATAGTGACTCACCAACAAACCACCTATATTAATACCCATAAAATTATGTGCATTGATTTGTCAAGTGCATAGCCTAAAACCATCAATAAATTCGACAAACCATGAACCAGCAAATTTACAAAAATACCACAAAAATCTTAGTCAACAAATATTTAACCTTCACAGTAATATTATTCAATAAGTATATAATATACATGAATATACATGTAAGTTACGATTTCAAAGAAAATAAGAAATAATAATAAATTTTGATTATTAATTAAATCTGGGATTATTTTAACCAGACAACCATTTCAGTGGATGTTGTCCAGTGGCAAATATTACAAGAGTATTCAACAGGCTATAGTTCATTGTTTGTACATATTCCATACATACATGTACAGTTTTAATCTGAATATACATGAACAATTGTTTACAGATCATGATGTCCCTTATCAAATGCCTTAACACAAAAGTGTTTTGTTTGGTACAAGTTTATGATGTACATGTATTTTTTATTATTATTCGTTTTACATATTGAACCAAATGAAGTTACCTTTATAAATTGTATGTTTAATAATTTGGTATAAAATGTACATGTTATTTAGGTTTGACTTCTTAGACAGTCGCCCTTTTGTCCTCAAGATTGAAGTGCTCTGATGGACATTTGTATTCCTTTTTTTCCTTTTTCAACAAACAAGACAACAACCCTTAAGGTTATAAATATTAGACTGTTATTTCCTCATTTTGAATTTTTATTGTTTTACGATCTTACCTTTTAAAATTAATTTGACGGATGCACATGCAAGACAAGACTAACAAATAACTACTGGTACACATGAACATGATGAGCTGATCGAGCTCTTAATTATTTTTTCAATTGTAACCCCATTCCAACAGTAACAGATATGGATCGAAGATCAATTAATGGCTAAAGCATCACAACCAGAGAAATTATTAATACATGAACATTGTATGTTAGCTGATATTTGTGTACAAGAATTTTAGGTCAATGACTTGGCACTAGAATTTGTACCTATTAGAATTGTTCAGAAACTTTAAGAAAAACATGAATTTATCATTCATTAAAATACATATTCTAGAATGATACACATTCATCTTTCATCTAAAAAGTGAGAAAATAAAATTTATCATCACAAAATGTAATATTCATTTCATTAATCCTTAGTGTGTTTTAAAGATATACATGTACATGACATATGTAGTAATTTTGTCAACATACAAACTAAATATTTAATATTGACAACAACAAAAAACTACAACATGTACAAAGAGTCGCAAACACATTGGTGCAATTAATCCTTTTTCTTTATTTTTAATAATTTGATAATTCATTTACCTGAACGTATACATGTGTGTAATGTAATTAGTAAATAAACAATTAATGTAAACTGTGTTGTAAACATGGTAAATAAAAGGTCAATAACCAGGATCAGTTGTGTAGATGTACCTTTAAAATAAGTAAGGTTTTATTTACATATAATCATTATAACTTTAAATAAAATTATAACATTTCAGATCATATGTATGGTTAAATCTTTTAAATCTCTGCTAAATGCATTCTTTGAAACAAAACTTTCTCCTCTAATGCGCTTGTTGACATAATAATTTAGGGGGCGTGTGTCAACAGAAAACGTCACAGCAATCAGCTGTTTAAGGACATTTTGTAGATAATAATGATAAAAATTAGAGGTAAACATAATTTTACATACCTGATATCTTCCAGTAATTCACATTCTTGCTGATGTTTTGCTTGGAGCTTTGATACCTGTTCTGAATGAATGTTTTTCAAAACGGCAGCGTGTTTTACCTGCAAAAAAAGGATGTAAAGTTATAATTGAAGGATATCGAATTTTAACAACATGTATCAGTCGTTACATGTATTTCTGATTAATTTGACAGTACCTTTCTAGGAGGTGGCTGCATCATATATATTTATGCCGATCGTCAGTTACCACGCCATTCTGGCAAAATTGTTGTGGCCGTTCTGTTCACCTCCCACCGGAAGTTTTGTAACTCATTCACAAATTACGAAATGTTATTGAATTGTTTCCGGCTCAGAGTTTTCTTCTAAGTAAAGACGGTTTCTATTTTAGATTTAGGTTATGATTAACATTATATTGTTTAATTTGAATTTCTAAATACTTATAGACGAATTTCAGAAAGTACAATTATACAACTGGAAGGACGAAAGAAACTTTGATTTCCGATAAACCCGCCCCTAAAAAAAATAAAGGAAAAAGAGAGAATAGCAATAAATCTCCTACACGAATAATAAATAAATCTAGTATAAAGTCCAGATGATTTCAGATTGCCCTTTTGGCGCCGAGAAAGTTGTCAAAATGTGATTTCGCACAGAGTTCAAAAGAAATCCATTAGAGATCTTTGCAAAACAATAATTCCGAGTTGACCGCCGTTACGTACGGAATATCTGTCTCAGTCATATATGACCATGGATAATCATATGATCCAATTGCCGTAGCCACAATACAGCCTTCTTTCCTAGAAGCAACTTATCGCAAAGTTTTACATGTCATGAGCAATAAAAAGGGTGTGACTATTGGAGCAGGAATTGCCGCTACCCTTCCGGAGCACCTACTGACTGTCCACTCCGGCTTTCAGTGTAGCATTTCGTTACTCAGTGTTGTTTGTCTGTTTTTCATTTCTTCTTTTGGCATTTTTCGTCTTCCTTCGACGGATTTTTTCAATTCTCCACGAATAAACAAGTTTAAAAAAGGTCGTCAGACGTCAGAGCATTTTAGCTTGGACTAGTCCTTATAAGTTGTAGTGAGGTGTGAACGTTTGCTCCGTGTTGAAGGCCTCACTGAAGGACAGCAATACAAGTGCGATGGCTTTGCTATGGGTTTGGTCATGTTCGTGCACATATATCAACTCGTTTCCATTAAATTAATAGATAATGTATCGTGCTGTGTGGAGCTGGTAAGTGTAACCCGTGCTTGAGATGTATACTCTCATATCTACAGTCACGGTGACTTTATTTTTAGCACATACTCACAACTTCTTGTCCAATGAAATTGCGTGAATTTGCCTTCCAAGTTTCATAGTACATACTTTTTCATACACTTACCTTTACTTACATCTTACATATTCTACTTTACTTTTCTCTTTCGATCTGTACGTTTACCCAAACAAATAACTTCCGGCGATTTTTTTTATCTCGGTGTCCCTCTGTGACTTTGCGATAAAGAACAACAAAAAGAGTTCTGTATCTTTAGTATAAAATTGGATTTGGTCAAGTACGTGCCGGGATTTTGTTTAATAAATATCGTACTGAATATGCATGAAATGTTTGTCACTGGACGTTCAGCTAGTAACAATCAAATATGGTGCATGAATAAAAATATGATATGAAAAAAGAAGAATCGATAATTATCCCTAAGTGTCATATATAGTTTTGTTTTTCAAAACACGATTTTTTTTATTTAGATGCCGTCAGATTAGACTTATCATGCTTACAAGAATTTTAACAATCACTTCTATACTGTTTATAAAAGACCCGCTCCTGATATTAAACCGAAGAAGAAAAAAGACATCTATCAGAATTATAAGCGTTTCCTCTCACAACACAACGTTTTTCTCTCGATCTTAACAAATTGGTAATATAGTGATGTGGCATGAATGCCAATGAAACAAATATCAAGGAAACCAAATGACGAAAATCCATACAATAAAAGAACTGGTATGACAAAATGTAAATAATTTTTTAAAAAGCCAATGTCTCGGTTAATGCTAAGAAAAACAAACAAAAGTCTAACTAGATCGCAACCAACAACAACCACTGACTTACAGACACCTGACTTGGGACAGACACACGAAGCACGTGGCGCGGTTTAACATATTTATGAGCGCTCACATACCCTTACCATTCGACAGTTGTGTAACATCACAACATAATAACGAACTATACTAATCATGTGGAAAAGGGTTGGACTCATCAGATCGGCACTAAGCACACAAAAACTCTAACAAAAACACAAGGTGACAGATTTAATAGTTCTCGAAGTAACCGAAAGCTAGACCAAAGTATATTCAAGTAATAAATAAACCATGTTTTCCCAGAATTAAATTTCAATAAGAACATTTCAAATAGATGAAGTCATCAACAAATGTTTACGTGATTGAAATTTAAATCGCTATAACCCATCTTGAACTATACTTTACTTTATTGAATCGAAAAGATATAAGACTATATATATGCGATAAATAAGAAAATGTGGTATTATTGCCGATGTAACAACTATCCATCATAGACCAAAGGACGAGGATGTAAACATATGGGTCACCGTATGGCATTCAACAGTGAGCAAAACCCATTCCATAAAGAGGGGCGTAAAGGGGGGTACCTGCACGGAAGAACGCGAAATAAAATTGCCATTTCACGAAGAACGAACAATTAAAAATTTCTTGCATGTTGATCTTTTTACCGATTTCACGAAACACGGTGAATAACGAACCTTTTTCACGGCTGCACGTGAAATAAAAATGGCAAAACACGTTGCGCGAAAATAACCCTTTACCACCCTCCATAAAGAAAGCTGTAAAGATCACAGATTTGACAAAATGTGAAACAAAAGAGAAATTGAACGGCCCGATTTATACTCATGCACAACAATAAATGCAAACACATAAAGAATAATTACGTTTCAGTGTAATTGCCTATTTTGAGCAATATCCAGGACTGTTAGGCAAACTCTCCCCATTTTAAGCAGTGAAGAAATAATTGCCGGTAATAAACATAAAAAAAAATGCGCCATCAAGATTGATTTCACATTCGCTATTCAGAGGAGTCAACTATAATTGTTACAGTATTATTGACACTTGGTGGACGAAAACTACTGTACAAAACTGAAAATTTACTTATCAGCAAGTAAAATGGCTATATCCAGTGAAAACCAAAGACTGAGCGACACGAGCACACCAAAAAACAGGGGGCAATCTCAGGCGCTCTGGAAGGGTAAGCAGGTCTTGCTCCACTAGTTGCGCCCGTTTGTGTGAGATGTACATGACAATTTTTAAACCTTAAGTTCTATTACAATCGCTATTCCCTCTTCTTTGATCAATCAGTCTCCATAGAAAATGGAAGGATGAATTAAGTATGTGCTTACCTCTTTGGATGCTTTTATTCGTTCATTTGTACTGATATTTAGCTGTCTAATCGATATATACTCACTCGATATATACTCACAAAACCATTTACTAAAATACTGAAATATTGTTGCATACGTATATCGAAACGTACTGCAGCACCGTTTGAATCCGATGTAGCTATAGTTCCCGACTATTGTAAAAGAGGAAAGACGTGAATCGTGATGTTTAATGACCTTTAATGAAATTGTCTGTCTGTTCGTCGTCTTTCGTTTTTTATCATGGCCTTGTCTTCTTATAAGATTTGAATCTCCCCTTGGATTCTATCCTATATTTATTATCACAGACACACATGTCATACGTACTCACTGAATTCGATGTCTTATGTCTTCAAAAATAGAAAAGCGTTTATGCAATATACGTCGAGGTTTGCCATATATCTAAAAAAAAAAAATGATTTCCAAAAGTGACCAATGGAATAACGTGACATTGTTGCCAATGTTTTAGTCTATGAAGCAGAATGAAGGGGACCTTCTATATAGAAGAGAGACGTGGATCCATATATCCTTAATGAAACAGGTCTATGTCCTGGATGTGTATCTGGAAAGGAGGGTTCTTTACCGAATTTCGTCGATATTTCAGACGTGATTTAAAAAACTAAGGAGATTTAAAACTCGCGTACTCCTCTGAATCCGACAGCAATATCCTAATAAGCCTCATTCACATTATTGTGTTGGCACTTCCCAACTTGTTCAATTAATTGACGAAGGCCTTAATTTTGGGGTCTTCTTTTCTGTTTTCTTTAATTTGCTGTGCCATTTTTTTCTTTTCTACAGTTTTTATCCCATGTCCCCCTATTCTTGATATTGTGACACAATTATTCTCTATTGCTTTTGTTTTGCCCATTTTACTCTTTTCATTTTTACTTGATGTTAATATATGTATCACTAGTAGTTACTGATTTGTCCTGCGCCCAACGATTATGTAATTTCGTATTATTATGCCGGAAAATTTGATCAATGATATGAGCCTGAATGTTCATACATTGAAAATGGACTGTCCTAAAACTTTTCTTAAACATTTGAGATATGATCACGGAAATCAGCATATATAGTGCACACTGTAAGAGCTGTCGGTGCAGAAAGGGTCCGAAATTTTAATATTTAGGCCTTATGAAATCACAGATTTGGGATGGATCTTCAGTTACCCCTGCAAAGGCTTAGTCGATTGCATTTTGCAAAAAACGAGGTCTTCAAACCAAAATATGGTTCTCTCCTGAACGTGGATTTCAACATCATACCTAAACTTATATGGCCAATTGTTACTTAATTTGAAATCATTTATGCTTTTAATTTGGGTTTAATGGTATTGTTTCCTAAAAAAGGCTATTCCTATATCTATATATACAAATGTATGAAAAGCGAGACAACTCTGTATAATTACCATTACATGTCCAGTGTAAAAATACTGATTGGATAAAATGAGGTATATGAATTTTTTATTTTGAAATCACTTATGTGATTTCTAACAAAAAACATATTTAGGAAAGATATTCTAAATCAAAGCCAACATTTGCTAAACTTGTAATATAGGACCAAAATAGTCTTCATACGTTTTTAGTTTGCATATTGCTGGATGTGTAAAATTCCGAGAAATCTATAGAGTATATCAAACAGTAATTAACACTTTAGTTGAGTTGGGTAAAAGCACAATTTAAAAGTCTCCGTCGTTTTCCTGTATTGTCTATTAATACCTGAAATTTTTCTGACTCTTTTAAATACATAAGTTGAAAACAATGTAAATTAAAGGTACACCTGTACAACTACTACCGATATATTGTCTTCTAGAATCGAGTAGATATTTGTTTCTTGTGCATCAAATACTGCAATCTCGAGTTTTTGCAACAACTAGTATTATTATAAAATCTACAGAACAAAGTTTTTTGTCGGTTTAATCATCTTTTTTAACTTATACTCGCACTCGTAAAACTCTATCATGAAGATTTGTTTCTTCTTTATTTTCTTATCTCAATATTTATGATATCAAAATGATTAACATGAATCTAAAGAAATAACACGAATAAATGTAGATATTTTAAAAAATCAAAGAATATTTCTATTCAAGTCAAAGATGATTTTTTATAATTTGGTATGTTGGACCAAATTTCCCGACCCTGTAAAGAGCTTTAAGTAGTCCAAGAACTGTTGGCTTAGAACGTTTCGTGTTTTGCCTCCATTTAAGTAAAACTCTTCTCGTCTGTTCCAGAAGTTTGTTTTTATAATCATGTTGAATCTGTTGTATATAAGATAAATCCACCTCTAACTCAATGGCAAGTTGCATGGTGCTGTTCCCAATGTGGTTTGACAAATCGTGGAGGGCATTGACTGACGGAATCTTTTTTAAGGTGTCTTCTGCCAAATCTAACAAAACAATAAAACAAAAGACGAATGGATATTATAAATTTGATTAACAATGTTATATTATTGACAAAATTTCGTCTGATCGGTCGTTCCTCAACGTATACAAACTAAAGGATATTCAGGAGATTATGAAGAATGTAAAAATCATATACATTTTATCTTTGAAATATATCTTTAACTGTAATACCATTAGGTGAATAACAATAACTATTTAAGGTTTCATAAATAACACCATACCAAATACAAACCAAATCAAAAGTTTACTGTTATATAATTAATTAATGTAACAAATCAAGTTGTTATACTTCACGTTAAAATGCCATATTTTGATTGGCTAATACGAGGTAGATAATTTACTCTATTCCATGGCTGAGCGGGAGACAATTTTTTTGAAAGTCACCCTCTCGTCCAGACCAATCAAAAATCGATAATTGAAAGGACAATGAATTGAGTTTACATCAAGTAAATAAAGACAATGCTTAAGTTCTATGTTTTGGTTCAGATTTTATTATTTGACTGTCAAAATAAAAAAAAAAAAACATCTTGCTTCACTTCTGTTGATTTTTCTAATACCGGTAACGTTGTTATGTACCTGACGTCATAGAAAATACTTTTAAATAAAATTCATCTGTAAAAGACAATAATGATAGAACATTCAGTATAATAAATTAAATAACACATAGTTGAGAGGGTGATAGAGCAGATTGGTACCCCTCGAAAAAGCATTGTCAACCTTGGCTTCGCCGCGGTTGACAATGTTTTCTCGGGGTAACAATCTGCTCTATCACCCTCTCAGCTATGTGTTATTTATATACTGAACAATATAAGTTGACGATGAACATTTCAAACTACATGACAAGCAATCGAATGTGATAATACAATGTTTCATTTATTTGGCCTTTTCTTGTTTTGAGCTGTCAGTTATTGAGACTTTCAGCTCTTATGTTTTGCTAAATCTTTTAATTGGTTATGCTATTATCTCACATCCTTCTATTATCAAAAAGACAGTTAAAAGAATTCACAAAAAAATATTTGAAACCACTGTTTGTTGATCTACCTTGTCTCTAAGTTAACACGAGTAGCACGTAACCTTACCGACATAATACTTATCTAAATATCTGGTAATTTCTAGCTTTTGACATGCCTGACACAGAAGTTATCTTATATAAATGGCATGCAACGTTATTCATCTTTATTTAATATTAAATGTACAATGTATTGAATTTCGATTAAATGATGCGCATGTAATTTATTAATCTTGAAAATTTAAAATAAAAATAAAAGTACGCTTACCAAGTGCATCTATCGTGACATCTCTAAACACCTGAAATATGCAATTTAATTATCCTTAAGTTCTAACAGACATGTTTTACAGAAAGGTAAACAGGTGCTTAGATAGAAGGAAGGACAACCCATACGTTAATGCAAGACGGATGCATAACACTTATAGAGAAAGGCAATACAAATGTACAACACGGATCACTGAGAATAAAGCTTGCACCATATAGAAGTACTTTTGCCGGTTAAATGAGTTAGTCTTTCCAACTTATTTTTACTGTGCGATTTTATGTTGTGTTATCACACGAATGTTCCTGGTTCGCGGAGGGTTGAATACTCTTAATCTTGTTTAACCTCAGCACACATGTCTGTTTTGAGCTAAGGGGCGTGTCATTCAGTGGTTGCCGTTGGTTACTGCCTGCAATATTGCATTGTAGTTTATTGTTTTGTGTCCTATTTCCGATTGTGACATTTTTACTGAGTGTGAATTTGCATGGAGGTGATACATGCATAGCAAGAGACTCTTACCCTGTCGATGCATCCGAGCACACTCCTTTTGGAGTTTATACGATTCCTCCATTTTCTGTTTGTTACCTTAATTGGTCTCTTCCTAATCGATTTACGAGATTTGAACATCGGTAAACAACTGTCGACTTTGATAAGAATGAATCAGGTTTTCAATGTTTCAACACCTTTTTTGTTGGCGTCTTTGTTAGATTTATTTGTATGCTGGAATTTTGAAGTCAGTTGTGATGTATATTTACACAATTTCGGCTGCTAGATCCCAATTATTGTCACATTTACCTATTATGTCTGTTAATTTGGGGTGTCATAGTAATTGAGAGGTTAAGCCAGCTATAAGACCAGGTTTATTAACCCACCATTTTCTTCAGAAAATACCTTGTACCAAGTCAAGAATGTGATAGTTGTTTTTCACTCGTTCCGTTGATTGATAACGTTTTATTTTGTCTATTTTTATGGACATCCCCCTTTTTGATTTTGCCTTAGAGTTCGGTATTTTAGTTTTACTTTTTTAATTCATTCACATTTCATCATCCTCAAGAACCTTTTATTAGCAACTATACGATATGTGATTTGCTCACTGTTGAAGACCGCACTGTTAGCTATGGTTCCTAACATCCCCGTCCTTTGATGTTTGGTAGATCGTTGTATCATTGAAAATCGTACCATGTTTGTTACGATGCGTACGTAACGTAGTTTCGATTTCTAGGGTTTTGCCGCATTAAGTAAAAATATGAAGGAAAACGAAAGTACATTTTTGGGATTCTTTCACTGATAGAATCTAACAACGACAATGCGAGGAAGTGTGTAATAAAGATTTGTTTCATGGATGCACGGCTGTATGAAATTGGCATGTGCAATCAGACATCATGCGGCCATTAAATTAATATGTACAGCTCAACTATTAAATTTTGGTGGTATTTGTGATTTTGGACCATTTGATAACATTAACGGTACCATATGCGCATTTTGATAATAAATGTCTCTTCAGTGATGCTCGAGGTCCAAATATCTGAACCTTCGGAGACTAAAAGTCCACCAGCAGAGGTATCGACCCAGTGGTAGTTATAGCATTAACGTTACCAATTTTCTGCACCAGATGCGCATATTGACAATAAATGTCTCTTCAGTGATGCTCGAGGACAAAATATTTAAAAATCCAAATCTTGTTTTTTTTTAAATGAAGAGCTGATAAACCAAAAAGGCCTTATCTATTCTCATTTATCAAAACATGAAACAATGATACGACATACTTAAGATATCACTCGATGGCTTTGTGTGTTGAAAATTGTCGTTTTGGGAGTAGAAACGATGATTTCGTAGACAAAAGTGACTACTTACCGCGGAAGAGAGTTTTTGAAAATAGTTGAACACCTATACGAGTTAAACAGTATCATAGAGAAAACGTTTAGGCAGGTTTCAAAATGGCTGTTAGACAATTGGGCGGAAGTTAGCATGTTTTCCTTAATCTTAAACATCGTTGTGTAAGAAGTAGAATAACAAAATTACCGTACTCCAAGGAAAATTCAAAATGGAAAGTCCCTTATCAAATGGCAAAATTAAAGCTCAAAACACACCAAAACGAATAGAAAACAATAATAACTGTCATATTCCTGACTTGGTACAGGCATTTTCTGATGTAGAACACGATGGATTAAACCTGATTTTATAGCTATCTAAACCTCCCACTTGTACATGTATGACAGTTGGTTTATAGTTCTTAAACCCCTTCACGTTCCTATCGTTACTCTCGTACTGATGGTCAAAGTTTTCAGGCAACTAGTTTGCGTTAAGTCTTGAATCTTTGACATTGTAATTTTGTTTACGCACAGCAGTGGTTAAGGGCTCAAATCAATACTCTATATGACAGCTTTGTTATTCATTGTGCCTTAAACTTCTATCAAGTACTGTTTAATATCGAATCGCCTCTAACCGACAAGATTTTCCCATGTGAAAACCTTTTTTTTTTAGATAATTTTAGCACAATATTTCCATAAAGTAAAGTAAACTATTAGTTTCGGGGGCAATATGACTTTTTTATTAACTGTGCCGTGTATTTTGGATGAATACTATTTAAATTATGATTAAAACTTCTACACAAGTTAAATACGTGATTCATAGTGTACCAACACAATCATAAACTTGAAATGCACTCAAAATTTGTGGTCATTTCTTAAAGAGTTAATTGAAAAAAAGATAAAACCCCCCAAAACATCATGAACATTTTTAGCGAAGATGAAATAGATGTAACAAAACATTGTTTCTTAAGTGCTTGCTTATGGTAATGTTGAAAACACCTTTGTTTAAATGAAGGAACAGGCATCCGTTAAAAAAAAATGGCAGACTAAGGTATAATATCCTCCTATTTTTACTTGAAATGATGGAATTGACAACAATTATATATTATCTCAACACTGAATTTCTAAACATATTGGATTTTTTTTCTGACTTCGTTAATGGTAGACTGAACTATTAAAATTTCAACAATTTCTCGAAGTATCCCAGTGGTGCAGTGGAAAGCTGAACCAACCCACAACAGGAAGGTTGCATGTTTGAGTCTCATAGCAGGAGGTGAAAATATAATTACCTTTATTAAATGTAACTTAACTTAGCTTAACTTAATCGCGCTCCCCTCTTTTTTTCTATTGCTACAGTCCGGTATGGACCACAACACCAAGTAATTATTGGTAATTCATTGAATATTTCCTTGTAAAGGCTATGTGTTGTTTTCCTGCTTGAATGAACATGATTTAGCCAGAAATTTGTGTCAGGGATTAGATTTTGACGAAAAAACTCATGAAGTCCGTTATTTTTTATGTTATGGGCATCTTCATTTCGAGTCATATAGCATTATGGCAACCTTTCTGTTTCTATCAGTCTTGGGTCATTGGTTTTATACGAAACCTTACCCTATTATCGCAAAAAATGTCTCCGCAAGAATTTTGTATTTTTTCACATTTTCCCCGCAAGTCACGTGACTTTTGGAAAAATACCACGTGACTTAAAAAGGCAAATTTTCTTTAAAATGAATTGTCTAAAATATTCAATCAATTATCTTTCATATAGATCCAACATGGCCTTTGTATGAGCTTTGGTGCGAATGCTATATCAAATTGAACTTGGATAGTGTCTTTTCCATAAGTTTAGATCTAAATTGGTTGAACTCGAAAGGGTTAAGACACAACTTGACGCACGCAATATGAACACGATTTCAATAGTATGACTAAAATAAGAGTTTTTATCACCTGACAAAGTAAATGTGAACTTATTCCTTTGTTTTCCAGTACATCTCTCAGATTGTCAAAACTGAAATCTCCATTCTTTATCGTGCAAGACCACAATGCCATAAATTTAATGTCATTTGAAGACTGATGCAGGAATTGATATTCTAAATCCTTCCATTCATGTAACTGGAACCCGAGCAATATTGCAATTTCACAACACTCATCAGGAGAGAGTAGTGCTGCTATCCTTCTTATATGCTGCGGTAAAGGACACTTCTCTCCTACTAATCTTCCGAGCCCTATAATGATAAGATGTTTTATTTATTTTTTTATATTATTTTTTTTATCTAATTTAATCAAACATATGAAAATTGAAAGTGATTTATAATGTCTAAGATACGATTACATTTTGTGATGAAGAAATAAAAAAAATATATGTTGACAGATCATTGTGTATCCGTAATATAATTCTGACAAAAAGTAAAACTCTGATTGTAATTTGATATTTTTTGTATATTAGTAGATATTATATGAAACAGATATTTTTCATGCAAATCTACAGTCTGTTCGTTAATTTTTGAAATAGATTTAGTCAATTTATGGAAATGTACAAATTTAAATAAATTTTTGAAAATCTTCAGAGTTATACCGCAATTAAAAAAATAAAAAAAAAAGAAATGTCGTCTCCATAGTTGATATTGATGACAGTTTAACTCTCTCAATTATTTTACAGTTTTTAAATATCTTATAATAAACACATTTAAAAACAACGATAAAACATTTTTAATCCAAGTCTTTTTATTGCATTCTTATATCGACCACACACCTTTTGTTCGGCTTAATAAAACGATGAACATGATACATATTGATTTAAAAATCAATATTTTTTACTTTCACAGTAGAAGATTAAATGACAATTTTGTCTCTTTCCTAAAGCATATGATACATTCAGGATGTATTAAAAAAGTTTTGTTGATTAAAATATATTGAATATATACTTTTGGTAACACACTCACTTACAAATGCTTACATTACTTGCAATGCGCATTTTAGTAACATACATGTTGGTAAACGTAGATACTATAATGTTTATTTCTTCAAAAGTGTTACATATTCATACATACCCTTGCAAGAGCTGGTACACACCTCATTTGGTTCCTAAAATAAAAATCACTGTGTAGTACAATACAAATATCCGGTTCAACAAAGACAGCAACAATAAGAATTGAATAATAAAACCTTGACCTGTTATATTAAACTGAAAAAATAATTATATTAAACGAAATTATGTACATAGAAAATATAAATTAAAAGAGGGACGGAAGATAGCAGGGTGATATTTATAAAATCTTACAGAATTCATTTTATAACTTAACTGTTTGTATTAGAGATACACATATTATTTCTCTCTCAGTTGAACTTTTAATAAATATACTGTTGAATATGTCCTAACTGACTTATTTTCGAAAACTTCAAAAAATATGCAAATCAATTTTCAACAGTTTAAACATTGTGTTTTACCTTTTCTGAGAACCAGGCAGTTAGGCCTTTGGTTGCATGCCGTTGTTTATGTTTTTTACAAATCCATACTGGGTCATCAGTTGATAAAGGCATTTCATTGTGGCTAAAGAAGCATATATCTGAATTGCAGAATACACCAAATTCAATTTTGAACGGTATGACTGAATTGACGTCTGCTGATTTTACGTCTGAAGCCAAAGTTGAATAAAATTCCGTGATTCTAACGATCGCTGAAGTCAGACACTCCTGGAGAGAAGATGCAAGAGTTGGAATAATTTCTTCTTTTGCCTTCGCATGGATAAGCGACACAATCAACCTGTTTGTTTTTACTTGGACTGCTAAGTCATGAAGGCTATCAATCTGAACAACAGCCAGATCACTGAACAACATTCTTTTCTCTGTGTTTCTTTCTTTATATTGTTTTATATCCCATGATGCTATTAGCGAACTCAGAAAACGATATGACATAGCTGGTGGAATCACCTCTTCAGAAAATGTGTAAGCCAGTATGATTGAATTATTCGATCTCCAAAATTTTTCTAGGAACAGTGTATCGTTTCCTTTGGTAATCATACAAGGGACGAGGAAGCGAGAAACACCTTGTAGTGAACAGCTTGCATCTTCAAAACTGGATCTAGGAGCAATCATAATATCAAGATGTACTAGCATCCGAAGAATAAATTCCTTGTATTGTAAAATGTGCTTGAATTTCTTTTGCCTCCAAAGAAAGTAGATATCATTCCTTTCAATCATCCCAGATTCCTGTAGGTTCCTAAGAATTAGAGAAAACCTCTCCCCTTGAGGCCAGAACTGTTTCTCAGTTACTATGGATCTTAGGACCTCAACAAGGTATGCAGGTGATATAATGATAAGATCACGGAGGTTTTCTACATCAAAGTACACCAGTTTCCCAAGCGAATGTTGCACCTTCAGAAATGTTTCTATCTGTCTCTCTGTTAAGATCAATGACTCATTTTTGGTATTCAATGCCGAAAGTTCAATGCGGGAGATAATATTTGCTCCTTCCGCAGATTTCTGAGCCAACTGCAATTCCAAAGGAATCCATAATGTTGGCATAAGTTCTCCCCATCTGGGATTTTCAGTTGCCCTTTCCATGAGCTTTATTTTGAGATTCGCAATTTCCTGATCTTCTGGATTTGTTGCATCAACAAATATCAACGGTTTAAATTCTAAATGTTTCGAACCAGCATGCGATTGAAACAATTGTTGCAGTTCGTGTTCGAGGTGCTTTCGTCTAGCTTCTCGTGTAATCTGTAATTCAGAATATGTATTGATACTGATAGAATATTATTTGTAAATTTAAATCCATGATGAAGTCGAACATTTACACATTTTGACATTATACTCAATTAATATTTCATATAAATAGGACAAAGTAAATATTATAACTTAAATAAAAAAAGTACACTTAAAGTGTTTACATGTATAGGGTACTTTTATCATGTTTATTTACCTTGAACCATTTCTCATCTTTATGCGTGGCTACAACGATAATCCTTGGAAAACCGTTATCTGTCCTCTTGCAGTATGTCAAAATTGAGTTGACCCAGTGTACCAAATAAACTGAACAAATATAAAATGATACAACGTAAAATATGTGTATTTTAATAATAAATACGCTATAATACGTTATATTCTTCTCTCCTTTTCGCGGTTTATACAAAACTCGTCGTCGACATCAATATGATTTTAAAACAGTAGACACTTATTTCGATATTGAAGTACATTATCTTTGACATTATAGTGTCCTTAACTATACCGATGCCATTTTGTAAGTTGTTTCAGTGAACTTAATTGACTGTTTTTCATGCTTTCATAGAATGTTGTATTACCAGCGACATTTCGATCCAACAATAAAAAACATTATACACCTGACTTAGCATAAAACATTAAAACCAAACATCTTGTCATTTCGGGGCCTTTTATAGCTGACTGTGCGGTATGGGATTTGCTCATTGTTGAAGGCCGTACGATGACCTATAGTTGTTAATTTCTGTGTCATTTGGTCTCTTGTGGAGAGTTGTCTCATTGACAATCATACCACATCTTCTTTTTTATATCTAAGTGTATTGTCATTTTGTCGAAGCTTAAACTTTCAAATACTTCCAGAAAATATTCCATCCAGCTTTGGTTCTGTGACTATAATGAGTCAGAGAAATTATACATCATATTGTCGGCTGAAAAACGTCTTTGCGTATTTCATAATTTCTTCATATGTATGAGGAATAGAACTAGAACTATATTTAGAAGAAAGAGTAAGGGTAACCATTCAGTGACGCACCAAGAATTTTCAAAATGGGAGTGAAAAATGAGGGGATAGCTAAACATCACTTTAGGTGTATATGAACAATATATTTGAAATAACCGTCAGTGGGCAGTAACCCAACACTACAAATGCCAAAAAATACCCAACTTATCATAATTTAGTTTCCAAAAACTTTTAAGACTACGAAGACCAAAAACAATCAAGAAACGAAATGAAGAACTGAAAATATCATTGTTAAAAATAACAGAAAGGAAAAAGGAACTAAAAGAATGAAAATAACAGTAACATACACGCATGTATTCAGATAACTTTTGGCAAAAATAAAATAAAAACAAACACAAATAAAAACAAAATGCAGCATTTTGTTTTATTCAACTTGAAAGTAAACAAATTAATTTAAGATTTTTAATGTCATAGTTATGATACTTTTGTTCAATACGTTAAATTATCCGCGAAGAATGTTTCTTTACTTTGATAGAAATGATAGATTAAACTTCATGAATTGGCCTGACAATACGATTTCAGTTTTATGGACGACAGAAAGAAAGAATTGCGAGCGAGATAAACCTTTTTTTTTTTTTCCCCGGAAGACTTTTTTTTTTTTTATCAGAGAATAAGTCTATTTAGCAGTAAAACAATCTGATTAAGCTACAGTTTTTTGTCCATTTTGATAGAAGCAAACTATTTTTTAATAATTATCTGAGTCAACTAACATGTCTAATTAGCAATATTATAAACATCACCTATAATTCAATTTTAACACTTTCAAAAATGGTTACTATAGAGAAAATCAATGATATTAGAAATAAATTAAAGAATATAAAGTGGTGAAGTTGAAGTCATCCCTTCGAAAATTTTACGGACGCCATCACGAGTTGGTTGACCATTATGGAATATCTGTTCCACAGATGACGATGAATATTTTCTATTTGTCGTAACCAAAAACCTGTACATTTTTCCTCGATTGTGACATCAACAAATTGGAATTATCACTGATTTGTTTTACTTAAATGAGCAGCACGATGGGTACCATATGATTACCATTCAGAAGCAACTGAGATCGCTCTCTGTTTGTGGTGCGGTCTCGATTGTTTGTAATCAACTTATGACGGAGAATGACTTATCAGTTTAAAGGTGCCAACCGATTCCAAATAATATTGATTTCGACAAAGTACTTTTAAACTGCTGAGATGAAATCGAGTATAAATCATAGATATTAACAGCAATATAAGATACAAATATTTTAACTGAATAATCATCAGTTCATGTCTTCAGTATTTTACATTTTTAGATATGTCTGTGTTAAATTGTAGACTTGTGTGTGTGAATTTGAATTTGAATTATTCGTATTCCACAATAATGTCCTGGTTTTTGGTAATCATCTCTCCTTTTTCTTCAAGGTAAACGGAATCACATGATTAATATAACAATTAAAAAAATAATGTACTTCACACTGAATGATCGACTCTATGGATTTAGAATATATAATGGAAGAGAATATGCTTCACGACATGTTGAATGTTTATATCGTTTCAAATAAGCACGACAGCCGGATACGTGATTTTTAATAATAAAAAAAACTACATAACGACAAATGAATAATCAGTATAAATAATGCACTTTAGGTTATTAATTGTGTTCATAGATGATATTTTCTTTTGTTATGATAATTTTTGTCCATGTTAAATGAGTACGCGATGTTAAAGTTGTACACCAAAACACTTAGGGTAGTCGGCAATGCAAAAAAACCTGAAGAATGCGATTAGTGTACCTGCTACCGTTGGTTTCCCAAAGTGCCCTGGCAGAAAGTTAAGGTCAGGCATGAGTTTGTGTAGATCAATTGACCCATTAAACATCAAAACAAAGATGCCCCTGCTGGTTATGAACAGCTGGTGAGTCATGTAATAATCCTTCTGGCCTCCAAAGTCCCAGATATCTATAGGTACTATCCGCTGCTTGTATTTACCTTCCTTCACTGCTTTAATAAGCAACTGGTGTATTTTGTCATGAGACATGTCGCATGTTATTTGTTCTCTCATCCAATCACTATCTAAATTATATGTGACACCATGGAAGTGATCAGCTGGCAAAGTATTCCCTTTATTCGATTTTGTGCTGGACAATCCATCTGCTAGTGGTTGTTGATCATCCTTATTCTGTGAAGGTTTGCTTATGTTTATTGTTTTCGCAAATAAAGTATCCACAACCTCAGTAGACTGGCCATCTGTTATGGACATATTTGTATTGATTGTGTCATCATTATTCTTGGTTGAATATATCGGGCCATGAATAGTATCTGGTATTGGGGATGTCTTAGTTTTAGACGTTGAAATAGATATCAGCATATTTGTCAATACCTCTGTTATAGCATTACCTTTAAAATATATCACATAACAGATAAAAAATCATCCTAGGCTTAACCTTGTGTTTAGTATAAATTGTCTGACCTAAACTGCTCTTAATTCTAAGAAAAATTGTATATCATGCCTTATGTCTATGTATTAACAGTCGGGCCACCTAGCAAACTCCATAATATCATATGTGAAATATAATTTTGACCGAAGAGATCCGGAGATATCAAATGAATATGTTTTACCTATGTATTCGGCATTAGTGAAATGTAACAGTTACGCATACACCATAAGTGATACCTAGGGTCTTTTGATGTTAGGTCCTGGGTCCACCATTAAGAAAATGATATCAAGGTGAAAGTTCAAGGTCGTCTTTTGAATTTTCTTTGTTGCTTGTGCATGCTTCTCCTCAGAAACCGTAATAGATATCCACAAAATATTTTACTAGGTAGTTAGTTACGACGTGTCATAACTGAAAATAGGTCAAGGCTAATGGTAAGTATGACGTTCTAGATTTTTACCTTTGCTATAACTTCATATTAATATATAATAAAGCCATGGGGTCATTTGCATTATGTTGGAAGACATATGACCTAGAACCGGTCAGCCCGAAGTGACCTTTTATAAACCGGATGTAGCCATTCGTAGCACTTATTTAACTTGAAAGTACCTAGGACCATATATTTTTTGAACCAGTATGAAGTAACCTATAATATGAAATCGGAAGTAATATTTCTCAGACCTGAAGGAGCAACTTATCTGCCTTATTTCAAGCAAAAGTATATAGAAACCATATAGTTCGAAATCAGCGTAAAGTAATGTAATGAATATTGTATTTTGGTATTCTCCCTTTTTTTTTCAAGATTTTATATGTATTTCTATGTATTTACAGTTATAGCAATAGTGTTATCATTTACTTTGCTCTTTTTAAGGTGGGGTTAACAAGTTTCATCATTCATATATAAGTTTGTCAGTTATAATTAGTCAACCCACTGTTTTTAAAGGTTGTTCTTTGTTTCATAAATGTAATTTAACTATCAATGACAAACATTTCCTGTTTTGTTGACCTAGTTTGCAGAGCCCTACCAGGTGCCCATCCAGCCCTACCACTGGAGCTGTAGTGCCCTACCAGGTGCCCTACTAGCCCTGCCAGTTTATATGTCACTTTTTCATTGGTTAAGGGAGTTTAGTGTTTTATGATTATTTAGGTTAATTGGGGGAGTATAAATAGGGGGGTTAGGCATTATTTTAGTCAGTAAGAAGTCAAGAGTTTTGTAGTCTGTAAGGTGAATTTATTGTAATACCGTCCGTTTACTATGCATTGTTAAATTGCGTATATTCCACATGTCTTTTTAATACGAGTTGAACTTATCATTGACTTCGAGTATCTTTTAGTTATACACTACTCAAGGATCCACTTATAATTTATGTGACCAGGAACATTCTCAGTACAACGCTACCTGATTCATGAATCTTAACAATGCTTGGAGGATCAACCTGAGAGAAAGCGGAGTACCACAGGAGTATTAGGAAATTGCCATCACTTTCATTCGTCGTCGTCAGGATCAGGCATTTCTAGTTCCCCTAGTTACTCGACCGTCCTCTCTTTTTCGTCACAGTAAGATAATTATCTGACAGTGGAAATGACATTCTAAACCGGACGTTAATATTTTCTAATCAAAATATGTGCATTTGGGGTGGAAAGACCTTCAATTGTTATCTGATAAATGTTTTTTTTTTTCATTCGCCACTTTTTTCTTTAGCTGTTTGGTTGTTTCGCAAGATGTCATTTAGATATTTGTTAAATGATATCTAGAAGATAAGGAACCGCCTCGGTGGTCTCATGGTAGCGTGTGCGCCTCTCGTGCGGGAGTTCGTAGGTTCGAACCCCGGTCTGGTCAAACTAAAGACTTTAAAATTGATATTCGCTGCTTCACTGCTTAGTATGCGGCATTTAGAAGTAATAGCAAAGACTGGTTGGCTTATAGTCAGAATAATATGTCCAGGTAGGGTGACATGTCGTCCCTGGTTTATGTTGCTCTTGCTTTAGTTTTAAGTGATGTTGTTTGTATTTTTTAATTTATCTAAGCTGTTTATTCCAGTAACAGTCTCGTATATCCTTTGTCATGAAATACGTGTGTCTATTTCCAATTTTCAGGGTAAGAACATCTACTTGACATATGGTTTATTAATTTATGATGTCTTAGGGTTAAAAAAACATCAATTATGAATCCGCTATTTTGTGATGCCTAATCACTTGATAAAACTTATCAACGTATTTTATAGGAGTAACACGACGAGTGCAGCATGTGGAGCAGTATCTGTTTACTCTTCTGGAGAACCTGATATGACCCCTGGTTTTTGGTGGGGTTCATGTTGCTCAGTCTTTAGTTTTCTATGTTGTGTTTTATGTATTGTTGTTTTTCTTTTGTTGTTGATTCGTTTTTTGCCATGGCAACGTTAGTTCGTTTTCGACTTACGGGTTTGAATGTCCCTTTGACATCTTTCGCTTCTCCTTGATAAAATATTTTTACAAAAGTGTTAGTTGCGACATGCTGGAAAATTAATAAAATTGTTTGACATTTAATGGGATTTTTCTGACCGTTTACTAGTATATTTAAAATTATCTATTTGGTGATATTACTCTTTAACCATATATATAAGAGACATAGGGTCTTTTTATTTTAGGTTCTTGCTTTGTGACCTGAAATTGAGATCCAGGTCTCAGTTTAATTTGATGTTCTTCATTTTGACCTTGCTATAACTTCTTATTGGTACATGATAAATTCATAGGGTCTTTTGTATTAGGTTGCAGATATATGATCTTAGAACGAAAAAACGGAAATGAACTATTGTATACCGGAATTAGCCATTTTTGCACTATTTTCGTGTAAAAATTACTAAAACAATATATTGTTGAAATAAATGTAAAGTAATATGTCATATGAAACTGAAAGTGAAATTGTGTAAACTGAAATAAACTTCTAATCTCCCATATTGCCAGCAAAAGTATAGAGAAATCATATATCTATTAGATCATCGTAAAAACATCAATTATCTGACACCGGAGATAACATTTAAAGCGGAAATTATATTTTTTTTCTCTCAAAATATGGTCATATGGGTTGAATAAACTCATCATAGATATCAAACTTAAAGTTTTGTCCACGGAAGACTCATTAGTGACGCTTAAATAAAAAAAAGAGCAAAAAAGGCCAAATAAAGTACGATGTTGAAAAGAATAGAAGACCCGAAATTCCGAGAGTTTTTGTCAGATACAGCTAAGGATATCTATTCCTTGGGTAAATATTTCGAACAATTCAAAGTTTTGTATAAAGTTCATTCAAATTTATGACCATATCAATAATAACTCATGTCAACAAAAAAGTGATGGCTACTGGGCTGGTAATAACCTCGGGGAGGAAATCTCTACCAGCAGTGACATCGACGCAATGGTTGAAAATAAACTCATCATAGATACCTGACTTAAAATTGTGTACAAGAAGATCGTTTCGTCTCCAAAAGACTCATCAGTGACACTCGAGTAAGAAATTTAAAGGGCTAAATAAAGTATGAAATTGAAGAGCATTGACGAACCAAAATTCCGAGAGATTTTGCAAAATACAGCAAAGGTGAACTTTTCCTGGGATAGACAATCCTTAGTATTTTGAAAAATTCAAAAATTTGTAAAGATAGACCTTCAACTGTTCTGTGGACGACTGCTTTTAAACAAAAATATTTATTGAGTTGTTTGAACAAAGTATTTGAGCACCAATTATGGTTTGATACAGTAATGCAAGATAGAGTACCACATTTAGATATATTGAAATCATGTAAAACACACAAACCTTTTGCAAAGAATATCCATTCCATTTTGTCCACGTTCATCCCCGCTCTTCCCATATATATCCATATACCATCAGTAGACTGCCTTATTATTGGTATGGTTTCACCAACAAGAATTTTTGCTAAACAACTTTTTCCGACAGAATATGGACCTACCAAAGATACTCTGCTCCAAAAGCATTTCTGGGAACTTTCGTGCAATAGCTCTTGCAAATCATTAACATTTTCAAGGCCAAGACCTCTAAGTTCTTCTAACAGTTTGACTAAAAATAAAACAATTGTTTTTCTACAAAAGACTCATCATCGCTCGAATCAGAAATGGTAAACGGCCAAATAAAGTACGAAGTTACAAATCAGTAAGGATCCACAATTCCGAAAGGTTTTGCCAAATGTATCTATGGTAATCTATTCTCTCATAAATATGACGATATCAATGATAATTATCGTCAACACAGAAGTGCTAATAATAACACACATGTGTAATAAAATTACACAATTGAGTTGCATCTCTCAAATACCAACCATTTCAATTAAATGTAGACATGAGATCTCATAAAATTTGTTTTGTTTGTATTTTTTCCTTGAGCGGGAGTATTGAGCCAACAGTTATGGCTATTGAACTAGCTTTTTGTAGAAGTGAACATATTTTGATCCTGTTTTCATATTCATGACAATCTTTCTTTTAATTACCTGTAGAAGTAAGTTGTCATCAACTTGTCAGCTGCACTGTGCAGCTTTTTATTATTTTGTGTTTTATTCGCGACACATGGTGTACGCTAGAGATTGTTTGTTTACCTCCAACAAGTATTTGTCTGTTTTCAGTCAGGCTATCTGGACCATATCATATGTTGTACGATATTGTTTGTCTCTTTTTTACGTTTATTTTCTAATCTAAAGAAAATCGGGTGTTGTTGTAACTGTATTGTAGTGAATGATTTTTATGTACAACATTTTTAAAATTTCGTTTATTGATTATATCTTACTCTACAGTATTTTCAAATATCAGAAAAAGTGTGATTTCTTAATTGTTTCGTATTTAATTTGTAAATTTCTTCAAAAGAAAACAAAAAACTATAACCCTGCGTAATAATCCACATCAACGTTTGTCTAACTCCGTTAAAAACTATTAGCGATAAACCCACTTCGCTGATCTAGCTTAATCATACTTCTGTTTACAACGGACCTATCTTAAAGACCGAATTTTATTGCTGCAGTTTTGAAAAAAGATGTTTTGTAACCCAAATTTAATTAGTATAGCTTGGGTTTTCTTTGTTTACAAAGAACTGTATGCGACAAGCAATATTAGGTTGCCTGCAATATGTGACTTTTAAAAGACCTATATAAGACCTGATTGATACTTAAAATTCATAAGCCAAATACATGTAAAAATGTCTATACCAAAACATTATACAGTCAGTTATGCCTGCGTGAAATATTACTTAAGTTTGACCACACTTTGGACACTAACAGTATTAATAAACATGCACTAAGCGATATAGTATTGTAGATTCGGTGTTGTTTTCTAGCTGTAACAATCGAAGTATCACTCGCCACCAAAATTGGAATCAATAAAGTGACAGTAAATTAACGTTCAATATATGATGATGAATAGTAAGTCATTTCTATGAAATCAATTTTGTCCGGATAATTACATATTATTATATATTGATTGTTTAAAAAACAATGTACAAACTCCAGCTAAAGAGGTGATTAATACAAAATTATATATAAGAAACCAGCTAACAATACCATGAAAATATGACGCAAATATGAGTTATTTTTTCTCAAAGCCAGAATGTTAAATATTTACTGCATTAGGGCAACATTATTTCCTAAAAATCGACAAATAAATAAACTAGCAATCATCATATGCTTACCATTTTCTTGGTATTCCTGTAAAGAAATGCAAAAAAAAAAAATAAATAAACACTCACGGTAAAAATAACAAGTGCTAAAAACTTTCTTGCTTGGTAGTTATTACGTGTATTATACGTTAGAATAAAGTAAGATAGAGTAAACAATAAAGAGAAAGCTAAGATCACGACGTGACCAAACAACGTACAGTACAATTTTATAGCGTAAGACACGTGTTTGTGAAATGCTAGTAAGTTCGCTCGATACGGCATATGCTGAGTGAGCACATAACATGTTACATAACTTCAGTATCAAAGATAACGAATACATAGACACACGAACAAACTCAATGAAAAATAAAGCTCATATGTACTTAAACAAGATTAAAGTAGTGAACATGTTGCTATGAACTCATGTTGTCTCAAACTATATTTCTTTGAATGAAAAAGCTACGTTCCAAAAAGCACATAAAGATTCCAGCTTGCACAAGACTAGTAGCAGACAATCAAAACGATCATTGCAGGAAAATAAAATTTTAGCCCAGTGTTTGACTATTTATTAGACGAGGAGTAAGTAAATATTTATTGATGTGAAAAAGAGAAGATATCAAATACTATATTTTTTTTTGTAATGAAGACAGATGTAGGTTTTTAATCTGTTGTAATAAAAACAGTATAACAGAAATAATACCGAACTCCAAGGCAAATTCAAAAAGAGGAATTCAGTAAAAACCGACAATATCAAACGTTATCAACAAAAGGAACGAGTGAAAAACAACTGTCATATCCCGGACTTGGTACAGGCATTGTCCGAAGATGGGTTAAACCTGGCTTTATAGCTAGTTATACCTCCCACTTTTATGACAGTTGTTTATAGTTCTGTTATATTGAAAAGTCATATAATAAAGTTATAGCGGCCTAAAGTTGATTTATATTACAAGTTAACCCGCCTTAACCCTTACAAATGTGAAAAATTGGGTAAAGCATATCAATTCAGGATATTTATGTGACTGCTGTTCATGGTTTCAAGCAATGATAAAAACACTCATAGTACGGAATGTTACTACGAAATACTTATATCGAAATAATTGAGACGTGAACACCAGAAAAAGTGCCCATGGAATGTAACCATTATAAAGAAATCGTTTTTTGACCCACAGTTTAGATATATCTCAGGATAATTATATAATCTGCAGGAAATCATTGGTTTGTATGTTTTGTGGTTAGGAAGGGAAAGTGACAAACTATTTTTGGAGTCGAGAAAACCAAAGAACTAATTTAAAATAATGCAATTTACTAAAAACAAATATTACGGACATTAATCAACGACAACCACTGAATTACAGGCTCCTGACTCGGGACAGAGAAATACAAAATTTGACGTGGCTGAACATGATTCTGGGCGCCCAATCCTCTCCTTAAGTGGGAAAGTGGCATACAAGGAAAAACTAATTGCAAACTGTAAAAATCCGTTGCAAAAGGCTTAACTCAATAGATTGGTACTAAGCAACAAAAAACAAACCAACCAACTAACATAAACAATAGCACAAAGTACCGAAATAAAGGCTTTCACAGTTATTGAATGCTAGTTCAAAGCCAATCACAACTAATTACAAGTACTAAATAAATCATATTTTCCCAGACTTAAGTGTCAGTCAGTAAACAAGCAACAAATTTAGTATAACAGTATCGACAGGATGAAGAAAAATTCGTACTCTTAACGTTACATTTAAAGCAATATATATTTAGATACGTTTTATTTTTTCAAAAACAAAATAATGAAACCCTTTGTAAGATTAAATTACGTTGTTAAATTGATGACTTTACAGAATATTTTCATTCAAGGATCACTGAGTTTACTTGGATCGTATCTGCTTTACGGGCTCTATAAACAACAACCCCGTAAAAATAAGGACAATGTGACATTCCGTTGTTTTCTTAGGAATTCTATGGGTACAGCCAATCTTCCTCACCAAATCTTTGTATTTATAAAATGATAAAGTCAAAGCGTTAAACATTTTTTGGTAATAAAATCCCTGACTTAATAATTTACCAGTTATACTTAAATTATGTTCATTGAAATCGAAAACGCCACTTCAGACATGGGCATAGCGAACAAGTTGTGAAATATACACACCGTAGGAAGGGATCAAAAGAAAAGGGAAAACTAACAATAGGGAACGACAAATCGTCCCATTTATCGTAAATATATATGAATGTATATGTATATAGTTTCAAGTCTGAGACTGAAATATCTAAATCTAGAAAAGGATAATTACTGCTGTCTGTATTATATTTATTTACTGGAAGTTCCCTTGGATAAATTTCCGCAGCAAAATTGGAAAATTCTTGATTATTTAAACAAAATTATCATCAAGGTAACTGTAAGTGTTAATAGATTTGTAAATTAAATGTAATTAAGACGGAACTTTACTGTTTTGACATAAACTGAGATTCGTAGCAACACAGGAACACGTCTGCTATGCAAGTTACAATTGGTGCACTTAGTGATTTCTACATTCTGTCGATGAATTGTCGAAACGTACTTATATGTTGCCAAGGAGAAAATTTACAGCCCTAATCATCTCATCACAGTTCCAGTTAGAATTTGTAGCATAGCTCCCTTTTTCATTAAAAAGAAGGCTTTTTATTAGTTAAAGCATTTGAATTTGCATTCAGATTTCAAAGGACCATTTAATTAAATAAGAAAACCTCAGGTTTTTCAGATTGTGTGGAAGTGTAAAGGAGTATTAACAAAAATACCGAACTCCAAGGTAAATTAAAAAAGGGGGAAGTCATTAAAATGTGACAAAATCAAAACATGCAAACAGTTTTTAATATTCCAATAATAATTGATTCCATTATTTTCATATGCTTAATTACAAAAACAAATAACAAGTTATTTAATATAAGTAAAGAAACTAGTTAACAATTCAGAAGAAATAATTTTATAATGATTGCTACAAGCTGAAAGGAAACGCTACTTTAATCATAAATTTTAGTCAACAATCAATTCGTGCCATATGAATAGATTGCCCAAAATCATGGCTTGAATGTGTATAAAAATGGGAAAATATTTGAGTCTGTCAGTTTTTATTTGTTTATGATTCATCTGCATGTGACATTCTAGACACGATCTACTCATTTTCTTTATCACACTGTATTGGGGCAAATCATTACCTGTGGACGAAGGGTCTCAAAAATCGGTTTTGCTGTATCAAATGCTGATTTCCCCTGCAAATAGAAATGAAAGAAATGAAAGTGCTCTATATTTCTAAAGCGTTAAAAGTCTGTTACATGGTGACATTATATCCATTTATTATAAATGTCATTGAAATTGTTAAATTTAAATGTTTCTGAATACCAACACTTATCTGAAGAAATGCAAGTTGTTTTATTGTTTCA